CACCGCGATGCACGGTAGGTGGATATATATGCGCCGTGTGTGCTATATGCGCGTCTCGGGAGCAGCCCGGAAAAATGGTGTCGAGCCACGGCGATGCTTTTATGTCATCGAACGCAAAAAGACAGCGCGGAAGGGGAACGCTGAAGCCAAGAGAGAGAGAGAGAGAGGGGGGGGGGGGGGGACATTTATAAACAACACAATAACGCTAATTGCAGTTTATGATTTTAACGTCAAAATGCGTCGCGCATTTGGAGCGCGTTGCGCATCGCTNAGCTCGGTCGAGAACTTCGGTGCGCCGCGCGTCGTAGTACGGCGTCTATAAAGCTTCTTCCCTCCCTCCAACTTTCCTCGCATCTATTTCCATTCATTTCCACCTTGTCGACACGGTGACTCGATCCGCCGTCGCGGGAGAAGAGCGGAAAATCAGGGAACAATGGCGAATCGCCGTGAGAGTTAACTATCGAATTGGGTCATCTCTCCCTGTGCGGGTTGCAGAAGAGATCCTCGCGCGAAAATTTCGCGCCGGGCGAAAAGAGAGAAGTTTGCGAACACGAGAGAGTCGCGATTGAATAACAGAGACGCGCGCGTGCGCGCGCTCGAAAAAGTTGTCGGCTGCTGAAACGACGTTTGAGATTAAAAAAAGCGGGTTGGATCTCTGCCGCGGACGTAAATGGCGCTGTAAATGAGCCTCCGGGGAGTTTTCATTCGAGGATTGGCCAACTTTCGCACCGCCAGTTATAATTAGGAGATCTATTTATCTAATAACCAATTATCAAAAGAGATGTTTGAAGTATTGGTTGTTTTTCTTGATGTAATTTTTCGTAAATAAATGCATGTTACATAAATGTAAAATTGTATATAGAAAAAAGGAGTTAGCTGTCCATATACAGGGTGAACCACGCAACGTGATCAGTTTAATTTATTCTGCTGTTAATGAACCGCTTGAAAATTTTTTTGCTTAGTATAACACGGTTCAAGGTGAGCTTTAAAATCATTTTAACGCTCACCTTAAACCATGTTATATTAGCAACAGAATAAACTGAACTGATTACGTTGCGCGGTTCACCCTGTATATACTGAACTGTATAACTGAAATTTAGTTATCAGATTTAGTTTTCAGGTGGTGGAGCGAAAAACTAAGTACAGGAACAAAAAATTAACTAAATTAAATAAATTTTAATTGTATTATATAGACAGTTAATTTTTAGCTGTAAGAATTAATTTTTCATTTTGGGAACTAATTCTCTTCTTTTGTGTACCTATTTGATTTACTTTTTTAGATCGAAAACTACTTGATAAAACTATTCGTGCCGTATGATGTTTTAATTATTTGGAGCGATATATTTTGATACTTGTTATATAAGCAACAATATTTCTATTATTTTATTACAACGTTACCACGTATGATGAAACCATGTATTCCACGCTCGTTTACGTTCAACTATGCAATTTCAGTTATCGGAATAATTAATTCCAACATCGTAATGGGGCGTAATATGAACATTCAATAAGCCGATTTAATGATCGGACGAATAGATGAATGAAATTAATCGCATTAAATTAACCTTGTTACGAGCGCTATATATTAAGCGTGTCCTATTTATAAAATCGCGCGGCGTTAAATAAAACCGCAAGGTGACAATCTGCAAAAATACCCACGCGGTACATTTCTATTCCAATTGGTAGCGCGAGGGTTCACAATGCGATAGCCCTGTAATTGGTGACGAGAAGAGAGAAAGAGGAAAACTTTCTCGGAAAAAGTATCGCAAGAATTGCACGGCTCTGTCAATCGACTTCTTTCGCCTGCGAATATTTTTGAACTCCGGAATTTGGCAAGGTTCTACGAAGAAGAAAATGATGATAAAATCCCACCCGGCGAGATGAGGTTAGCGCGCACACACTCTAAAAATAATCTGTTCTCTGGTATATCGTGAAAGCGGTATCTATTGCGTCGACACGCCCGGAAGGATCCCCCCTCTTGTTGTTCGTTATCCACACCGGAAGTTGCGACGCGACTACCTGTGCCCGCACGGTACTTCCTGTGTCGCGTGCGATATTCCCCCGTTCCTCGTCGCGCCGCTTCCCAGTTGTCCACCTTTCATCTTTCTTACTCCACTTCTCGTACAGAATTTTTAACCCGAACGCGTGAGAAAATGTTCCGCCATAATGAACTTGCATATTTCACGCGCCGCCACCGTCGTTATCGTCGTCTACTCTGAATCGTATTCTCCCTTTTTCCCCTTCGCGGTCTCGAAAAATTTAGACGCACTCCCCGCACCACCCCGCGCGTACGCGCTTATTAAGTTCCATCGTATTATTCACTTTGTGCTCCGTCGCGTTGGTGTACCTTAGCGTCGCGCGGAATAAAATTCGCCGTCGCTTCGTTATCGAAACGCACACGTGAAAAATGAAGAGTGAAAAAAGAGAGCGAGAAAGTAAATGAATTTTTTCCCATCGGCGTATCGGTTCCGAGAGTGGCGCTCGAAATAAACCATCGGCGTTCATTCTCCTGTGAATCCCGGTGTAAGACAACTCGATCCGACTCTCGCACGGCTATTCTGTGCACGTCGGGAGGAAAAAAAAAGACGCGGAAAAAATGCAGACGTCAAAGGACCCACGGTGGCTCTTTTGTCGGACTTTGTTGCACGTAACTCTATCGGCGCGCGTTCTATCTTTTATATTAAAAGTACTTCGGCCGCGCGAACGACAAGAATAGTGCGGAACAACCGCGATTGATCGATCCCGCGCTACGCCTCGGCGTTACCTACCGCCGCAACCACGCTCGTCTTTTCCGTGTGGAAAATTTAAAAAAGGGAGAAAAAAATAATCTACGTCGAAAGAAAGAAGGACAGAGTGGGAGAATGGGTCGCTCGGGCTAGGACGAGCCCCGTCGGGGAAGGCTCGCTTTCCACACGCGTACACCTACAAAGAAACGCTCGGATACGCCGTGACTGGAGAAGAGCTACGAGGAGGTTTTATTCTAACGGATACTCCGCGGCTACGGGAGTTTATAACTGTCGACACTCCTACGGGGCGCGAGGGGCTGGACACGACCAAGTTGGAGAAGAGGCTGGCGCGAACGAGACGCGCGACGGACGTGCAACTGTAACACGAGATGCGATGGAAATGAGTTTCGTTGGAAAAAACCCCCGCGAAAAATCGCAAACAATTCTGCCGGAGCTACAACGACATGAGCCGAAAATTTTCAGCTTTTGTTTCACGTTCAGTTATTTTTCAACGTTTTGGAACTTGAGTTCGTGTATAATCCAGACTATTGTACATGAAATTTGATATTCTCGTATTCCGGGACGTTTAAATTGCGCTTTTACATTTGGAAACTGCGTCGTCCATATCTCGGAAAGGTTAATCGAATTGTCTGAAGACTTAACGAAGTGACGTTACTCCGAGATCAACTGAAGTTTTTTTTTTTTTTTCACCAAGTCGTTAGATGTGCGCGCTTTTATGTGCGAACGACGGACGATGGGACATAATATATAGCAGGATAAACGACGAACAATCTATCCGCGGTAGACAAAAGCGCACGGCCATAAAGTTACATTCATCCCCGAGGAAATTCTCGGCCGCTTATCGGACCATTTGTTCCGCTGCGCCGGTAAATTCGACTCTAACTCGATTTCAATGAGTCTACTAATTGTCGGTGACTCGATTAGGCGACAATGGAGTTCCGTTCGCGGCCGCAGTTTCGAAGACGGGTCCCGCGTGTACAGAACACGGAACTTCTCCAAAGCGAAGGGGCATGAGTAAAAATAAAATAAAAGATCCGTGATTCTGTTGAAACGCAACGTTTGCAAAGGAGATCTCTTCACGAGCGTTAATGGGATTTTCCGAAAAATGCAAAGTGGCTGGGAAATACTCGCAACCCCGGCGCATCGGCAATTTCTTCGTCGTGCCTCTGTACGACATCAATTCGCAACATCCCGAGATAACGTCTCGGAATTATGACGTGAAATCAGCGGGCAAATTCTGCGCATTACGAAGTCGGAGAATTTACGACCCAGTCGACCGCGCAGAGAACGCGGTATTCGTAAGCTGCTGAAATGCAAGCGCTCTCGCGAAACAGGAGAGCTTTAAAGCTTCCACGAGTGTTCTTTCCCCGTGTTTTCGCACGAGAGAATGCCACTACCGTACACCGTGCGCACCATCGCGGCGTTACTTCGTCGTGCAAATTCGTCGCGAGTGAAATCCGGCAAAAACGAGGCCGTCAAGTGGCCGATACGGCACGAGCTGCGAGTAGCGTTCCACCGAGTTCTTTTTGCTCGTCTCTCGAGTAATTCATTCGCTAACGCTAAACTCGAGCCATAATCCTGGCTTGTTCGCGACGATAACGCGAGAGCGAGTCTTAACCGAGGTAAGTGGATCATGGGTCCTGTGTGTGGATGGAGTCATTAACAATTAAACGTGTCGCCACTGTGTGTCGTCTCTTCACTCAGCACTCCGTTATGTTCGCATTATTCAAATTCTAATTACGACGTAAAGTACTTTGTAACGCGACCGCGTGTCCGCGGTAACCACCGGAATTTTCTAAAGGCGCATCGACGACATGCGAATAATGTAGTACCGCAAACTAGTCTCTCGAGAATATTTTCTGCAATGCGGAGGCGGAGGTTACGCAGTTGGCGTTCCTTGTCTTTCCGTTCAATTCCCGTATAAATTTCATTTATATTTTATGTATGCGAAGTTATTAGTATTCCGAAATTTAAATATTGATTGATATTTAAAAACGCGTAGGTAAAAATGGATTTAATGAACGACAAATATCTTCGCGCGACATTCATGATAGATTAGATAGCGAGAATGATCTCGCGATGGAATCTTCGAAATTAGTGTACATACTGTAAAAAAATATTTTCCATCTTCGAGCGCAATGCAATAAATATTTATCTAAGGATGCTTCTTCATCGGACGTGCTTCGTGAAGAGAGACGCGTCGCACGATTCGGAGAACGTTCGCCATCGATTCCGGGAATTTCTTGAACTCACCTCCGCCCGATGCGAACTCGAGCCGTCAAAGTTCGCGTTCAAGGATCCTTTAATTCACCAGCGGTCTCGTCGTCGGGCAGTCGTTTTCTTGTGTCTTACAGGCACGCCGACATACACGTGGTCATAACACCACGACGAGGTCCGAGATCCCTCTTCGCGTGCACGAGAGATGCTGAATGGCACATGCCACGAGAGATCGTGTACGCGAGTTAGTTTTAATGTGCGTTACGTGCAGTTCGAAGGACGTCGCGCCGACATTGACAAAAGAGTTCGCTTTTATGGTCACCGAACTGAAATTGACGTCAATGCGGACGGGCGAATTAAAGACAGCCGAGATATACTTTGAGCACGTCCGCAGAGAAATAAAAAGGAGTACGTGATATCATTCGCCTTCTGGATGTAAATCTTTTATAATGGAGGAATTTAAAAATAGGAACTATTAGAGAAGAATAAAAGAATGTTATTAATTCTCTTTTCACCGAATGACTGCCGAACTTCTGAAAAGGAAGCAGCGAAAAAAGAATAATCGAATGGACAGTCGTGAGACGAGAAGACCTAGTTTGAAACTTTTACCTTCTCAATTCCAGTCTTTCAAAATGAAAAAATTATGAATGCAAACTATTAGGAATGAACGAGTGCTATCAATTCTCCCTTCGCCAAGTCTTTGTCAAGCTTTTAAAGAAGAAGCAGCGGAAGAATAATTCAGTAGGTAAGAAAAGGTAATCGCGAGACGAGGATTTAGCTTCAAACTTTTGTTTTATAAGTTTATAACCAGTGTTCCAAGATAGAAGAATTAAAAATGAAAACTCTGTTGGAAGCGCTCGAATGTGTGTATTATTAATTCTTTTTCACCGAGAGCAGTCGCTGAGCTTTCGAAGAGGAAACGACGGAAAGACAATAATCGAGTAGACAATCGCGAGAATCCAGTCGCAAACTTTCACCTTATAAATTTGTTTTTTTCATCTCGGTTCTCCCCGCACCCGTCGAGCGAGATTTTCTCACGCGCGCGATTGTCGGAGCTAGCGAGTCTTTCGCTCGGTTAAAAGGCGATGCTCGGCAATGAAGACAAAGCGACGGGGACGGCGTCCGGTTTCGCTCTGGCGTTATCAGTCGCCACGTGAGCGCGCTACGAAAATAGGAAATCGCTCCGGCACGAGACTTATCGCGTCCGCTCTTCGACGCTACCAAACTTCGGGTCGAATGTTTCACTATCTCGAGGCGTAATCATTATCGAGAACGGTCTCGAGGCTCTCGCCGATAAGGTTTACCGAGCGAGTCGCCAGCACGAACGAAATACGGACGTGTCCGCGTCGTTAAAGTCCTCCGCACCTGCTTAAGCGTGACTCGAATTTCTGTTGCCGACAGATTCGCACCTGCCATTCCTGCCGCCTTGCGTAAACAGCTAACGACGTGTCGCTAACCAAATCGCGCGAGAACGAACATAAAACCGAGAAAAGAGACGCGATAAATTTTTATTGCTGCACAGAAGATATTACATCTTTAGCGCGAGAATGCGTGTATAAGCCCATAATATGTACGACCATAACTTATTATCACTAATTCCCCATTACTTAGAAAGAACTAGAACAAAGTATCACAACGATGTTGACTCAAGAGCTGCTTTATGTTACTTTGCAGAGAGAAGCAAGAGAGAGAGAGAGAGAGAGAGAGAGAGCAATCTAACGTACAAGAAAACGCACTGTGTTTTGCGACATCTGTCATTTCGGGACTATCAATAAGGATGCTTGTCGACTGGATCTATTCCGGCGTAGATAAGAGCCGTGAGCCGACGCTGAATGGAGATGACGTTTCGTCGAATCGGCTGCGATGACGAGTACGACGAGACGTAACGGTCGAGATAATTCCGTTGATCGAGCGTAAAAATCAAAAATAAAAGAAGAAACGCGGCCGAGAGAGAGAGAGAGCTCGGTTTAATAGGATAATTCGACGCAGCGTTACAACGAGAATTCAATCTCTCACGGCTTGGAGTGACGTTAACTTTCGTTAACGGATGCACGCACACGTGAGCGCGTAAATGCGAGTGTGTGCGTACGCGCTCTTTCCGGTGGGAATATATCGTTTTAAAACGCTTGTTTAATTATCGAGTGGGGCAACGATTGACCCGAGGTCACGCCGCGACGATTCGTCGTTTTACGTAGAACGAAGAGTAAAAAAAATGGCTGCGCCCGCCGCGCTATCGGGGATAGCGCTGACGAAATGAACTCGTATTGCCCGGTACCGCGATCCGTGTACATCGCGCACCCCCACAACGGCAACGTTGTAACATCACGATCGTTTAATTGCCTTTTATCGCTTGCCTTTTATCGTACACGCCAAAGCGAATTGAATAAACGCGCCGTACGGTTATTAAACGGGCAACAATGCCGACGACGAAACAAATCGCGTATTAAAAAGTCATATCGCGGAATGGTCATTGGAAACGAAGTGAGTAGTGGTGATACTCGGGCCGCGAGATGTAAATTTCAGCCGACGATTATTATCGATAACGATCGCGGCGATATTCCAGGCGCGTGTAAAATTACAGGCGGTCCTTCGGTGAACGTAACTCGCGGAACGTGCGTAACGAATGTAATTAGAAGCAATCATCCGCGACAGGTGAAAACTGAGCGCATTTCGTGCGCGAAACGATACACGCGTGCACGGAGAAATTTCTTTCAGGAACCTCTCTCGCGGGGAAGAACAGGTCGACGTTAGATAATGGAGAAAGGAACGGGAGTGTGCGCTTTGCGTACGTAGGATTGTCTAGACAGCATCGTCGAATGCGCATTGTCAGGGTCGCTTAGGTGTGGTCAGTCATTGTTATGTCTTCCACGGTAATGCGTGTGTGCTGTAGCTATAAAACGAGTGCCTTAATATCTGTAATTCATGCCGCGTTGCAGCCGTACGTAATAATAATACCACGGCGAGTTATTTTCGTTCCCTTGTATTTCACTTCTCTCATTTCCGTCCGTTACCTCTCTCTCTCTCTTTCTCTCGTTCTCTCTTTCTTCCTCCTTCTCTCTCGAAATTATCGTAGGTGCAACCCCTACAACGATAATCGCTAATTAACGGCCGTAACGTTATACGGAGACAAACATAGAAGTCACGCGCGGGATACGTTTGGTGATAAACAAATATACATTGTGCATATGCAAGTGTGCAAGTGCACAATCCACCGATGATCATTCGCGTATGATGTAATAGACGATCAGGCTAATTTAAATACGTCAATGGGCCTGATTAATGACTGATAATCGACGGACGTCCGCGATAATAGCAACATAATGTAACGAATGGCCAGCAGTCATGTAATACACGATCGGTGCATGTACACGTTGTCTCGAAAGCACCGCGCACAATTCCAACGACGCGTCCTTCGATCATGTTTTTACGTTCGTCCTCTTTCATTATCTTATACCAGCGGATTAAACATCCTCGCGACCGGCATTCAAAGAAAAATTCCAACGAAGGAAAAAGTTTATAACCCGCGGTCTGTAAGTGAATAAATACGGGTGTATAATTAAGGAGACCTGATAATTCTTGCTCCGATATAATGTCGTCGCCGCGCGGACGAGTGGCGAAGGGGTTGACACTCTCATCGGATGACCAAATACGGGAAGGGACGAAGTAGAAGTCGCGCGATAGGGAGTAACAGGTTTTCATACGCCGACACAGACGAGGCCGGACACAAAAGATGGCCGTTCCGATCGAACGGCCGGCAGAAGGATCGGCTACGGAGAGCAAAAAAGTCGAGGCTCGGTTCGCAGAGACTCTGTACGCACGCGCCGCGAAGATTCCACGAAGCTCAATTGCTACCTAGCTATCGACAATACCCATCGATCCCGCAATTGCTTCTCTCTCTCTCTATCATTCGCGATTTCCGGCTCGTAAGAATTTTAAGAAAACGCTATGGAAGTTATCAGTTGGAATGAAACGAATTACGGGCACGAAGATACTAATTTGTTGCAGCGGTTAATTATCCGCGCGTATAACAAGTAAAATAAGAAACGCTTCGATGTTTCGCACGACGGAAGGATCACGGACGGAAAAGTACGGAGGAAAATTTGATCTCTGCGTGCGTGCGAAGCATCCGAAATTTTCGCAACTCTCAATGTCATAAAGCTCGAGTGGCCATTTATTTCGGTCACCCTGTAGAGGCAGGCAGACTCGTCGAGACTGTCGAAAAAATTCACAATAAAGCGGCTACACCACTCCCCCGTGCAGGGCCGAGCGCATCGTTACTCTTTCACTGACAGCTACGGCGTAAACAAGCCCGAGCGATTCTCCGGCGAACGCGCGCGCCAACGAGCTGGCAGTCACGACGAAACCTAATCGGCCTAATCTCCGCGCGCGGCTATCTGCGAACTCTGTCGCACGTAGGAAGAGCCGCGGACGTACGTCACCTCGCCTGCGTGCTCCGAACCGCATCACCGACTTTCCGGAGCGAAGACCGAGACGAACGCGATGAAACGTTACGGTAACACACGGGAACGATTACCGAGAAACGATACTGTCATAAATGTAAGAAACGAGGTAACTTGCTCGCGTTCTCCGGATTGTATCAGTAATATTTCCACGGACGATAGTCGATAAAATATACAGGAAATAGAGAATAAAATATGATATCGTTGATATAAATGAAATTACGATTCCCGGGAAGAGATATTGTAGAGATGAAAAATAATGTAAAAAATATATATCATTGCGTGGCAATGACCGCACACAAAGTAGTTTCCGCTGCTTAACAAAATTTTAATATCGTACATATTTGTCTTTCTATACATACGCGATGAAAGAAATATTATGCGGGGCTACCGATCGAGAAATTAATTACAAATCGTATCGAAAACGCTCGAAGGAGGAACCGAGGCACAAAATGTCGAAATAACGAAACGTTGCCAATCAGGAGGCGGATGTTGCAAGATAAAGATACGAATGTATAAAATACACGGAGAAAAATTAGTTTTAAATCTCAACTCAATTCAAGACTAAAAATCTTCCAAAAAAATTATAATATTCTTGCTTATATATGAGAATAGTTATTCTTGATTTAAAATTAATTCTTTTCCGTGCAGGTAAGTAGAAATAAAATGTGCGCGCGTGTGTGTAATATTCACAATGTAGTTTAGAAATGACATGTAAATTCGCAGGAATTAATAGTTACATTCTTATATCTAATTGTTCCTCGATATACTTATCGGAGCGACCGTCACCTCGAACTGCACTCAACTTTGTTAATTGAAATACGAGAACACCTTCGGATAAGACGCGAACCACAATGCGTCACCGATAGAGCGTGTATCGAGTGTCTCTCTCGAAATCTTAGGTTGGGTTAAATACCGAGCACATATCTATGGCTCGTTTATAAACTTCACTCGACATACGCGACTCCACGCGAAGCTCATGTTCGGGAATGTTCGGATCGAGCGATTCAAATTGCTTGAATTTCGTGAATACTCGGATCTCTGTCGCGCCTGAAGGTATCCCCGAGAACGGTTTAAATGATCTCAACCGTGAAGCAGAAAATGGCGATGCATCACAGTAGGGATAGACAAATCGAAGCCGTCAATCATTCTTCGCCATAAATGCGATCTCCTACCGAATTTTTCCGAATCGCAGTACCTTCAGGCATCGTTGGCCGATCGACGAGACTGCTTCCGATTTGCTGTCCGAATTCTAAGCTCTAACGTTTCCGTTACAACAGCTCGATCGTCCGAGCATCGGAATCGACACAACGAGTGCGTTCGGAGAGCGCACTACTAGCACTATTCGCCCAAAACGCCATTCTATCTTCATCGCTCCTTGGTTGTAAAACAAGGATATAGAATGTCGCTTTAATGCTGACAGCATACTTCCCGAACGTACCCGAGTCGCGCGTCTCGGCCGGTTACGAGACAACACTTACGTCCGAGTCCTTAGCTCACGCACACGATCCTCGATGCATCTTGTGCAGTCATGATTCACAACCCGAAGCGGGGACTTGTCATCGTTACGAACGGAATCGCGATCTTAGGGTTCACTCGCGTAACACTCGCGTAACACATTCGCGTAACGATCGTGACTTGTCGCAGTCGGCGGGACGCCGCGAGACGATCGGAACGACTAACGAAAACACACGCGGCGAGCGCGTTCTCGATCGCCACGTACCGCCGCGCGGGAACATCGGAACTGGACTGCCGCCGCTCGGCAGATTCCGCTGTATGTAGGAGGGTGCGCGCGCGCCTTCGCTCGCTCGCAGCCGCCTTCACGGCGCTCCGGTCGCGCCGCTGTTGGTATACACTGAGCGAGAGAGATAGAGAGTGATACACGAACGGACACGTTTACTTCGTTCGCCAGGACGGATCAGCTGATTCCTGAGTGGACGCGCACAACCGGCGACGGTAATTGAAGCGTCTCGTAGGAGACCTCAGCGAAACGTCCTTCGTATCGAATGAAAGTTGCAAAGTGCAACCGTGAGGAAACATCAACCATCTTGTCTCGCCGAATGCATTAATGCGCGTCGTCGTAATTTCGAGCCGTTCGCTGTCTAAAACGATCTGAATCGGCGTCTGGGAGGAGCCGCGGCCCCTGGAACATAACGAGACGAGCACGCGCCAAGTCGTCTGGCCAAGAAATGAGAAATGTGAGGACAACGTCACTAGAAAGACGGAAAGAGACAGAGAGGATGAACGAGAGACGACGATCGAGAAAAGCGGCGCGGAAGGGAAAAACGAGCAAATGCAGACTCGTTGACACGTGCGCTCTCTCAGCTGGGGTTCATGGGGCCCCACAGAATGTTCACGGAGATATGTATATCGCACGTGGCAAGAACGACAGGCATACTGCAAGGTAAGGAATTAACAGACGTTATCTCACTTTAATATCTCTCAGTTTCGACGGCACGGGTCCGTCGGAAAGAAATAAAAGCTATGAAATAGTCGAACCGTCTGTAATTATAATTCGTCGTGGCGTTGCTCGGTTATAAATCACGCGTATGACCGGTGATATACGCGAAGGGAAGCCATGCGACTTTCTTTACTGATTATTATCGTCGCGCAAAAATTCGACGTGTCTCTTCTCGAATTCGCCTACACGTCGCGTGTTCATCAGAATCGATCTCTCTCTCTCTCTCTAATCGTATCTCACGGGTGATCTACGTGTGACACGGGACGTGCATCAGCCGCAAGCAAGCAGCTTCGCATAGGTCAGATCGGTGTAATTTCACTGACGCCGCGGGAAGGTGGCATCGTGCGAAAGTGCAAGCCGGCCGCCGACGCGACCGCACAACCGGTTTCTACCGAAACGAATTTCGAGATGCGCTAGCGGCGGCGAAAGCGGATCAATGTCGTTATAGACGACGAATGGAAATGCTACACACGGGACGCGTCGCCTGCGGCTTGTTGATAACGTCGCGAAAATCGCGAGCAGACGTAAGAGCTCTGATTAATTGCGCGAGTGAAATATCTTTTTTTTTCCTCTAAGAAGCGGAGGCGATTTTTCGGCACACGCGACTATGTTACTTTCGATTTCTCAGTCCCCGGAGCGGCCGTTTACGAGCGATCGACGTCGATTAACATGCATCGGGGACAGCGTGCAATTTGCATCGAAGGAGAAAATCTGATTTATTTCGGGCGACACAATTTCTCCTCGCTTTTTTGTACATTAGCCGCTTTTTCGAGTGCCGGCTAATTTGACCTTTAAGAGAGACACTTGAGGACCGATCTCTAGAACTGATCGTGCGCGATCGTCACAATTTCTCAGCTCTAAATGCCAGCTAATTACCCGTGCGTTGTGCATGGCAGCTGCATGCGAGATATAACTACGATTACTGGGATCGTCGCTTACCATTCCGCTTTAAACGCGAGCGCACGTCTATATTTTCTACGTTCGATGGACCATCCATGCGCGTTCATTTATCGTAAAAGCGACGCGCGATTTCTCTCACATCGAGAATAAAAAAAAAAAAGGGCACCGATTACTTTGTCATCGAGACACCTTATCAATGCGTTAAAATTGTTCGGTTCAAAACGATGCGCTTGAAAATTCGACAAATTTGACATCCAATCTCGAATCGAGAGTTTATTTTGCCGCTTTCGTTTCGCGACTTTTAGTTCACGCGCAAATACGGAATCCCTCGCGTTTGAAATCACGCATTAACAGCCGGGATCATTTTATTATACGTTCGTTATTTGAGCGACACGTGTTTCGTGACGTGAACGTTCGCTGGTTGAACGGACGAGTGTCGTTTATCACCGAACCCGCATGCACGTCGGCGTGCACTTTACCTACCAACCGACTTCACGTCCCCCTCCCCCCCCCCCCCCCCCCNCGCCGCTTCTTTCTCTCGTCTCTCTTCGCGCGCGATGTAAGCAGACGCGCCGCAAGCGGGAGAGAACCAACGGTGCCACGGTTGCAGAACGAAAATTATTTTTAGCGTCGCGAATACCGCGCCGCCGAGAGTGTCGCGAAGACTCCCGTGGATACGAGAGGGTTCGCAGAAAATCAAATCGAGCAAGAGTTCTCATGATTATCGCGTACATCTTTCTCAATACGAAAAGGAACGAGCAACGCATCGAGAGATCTTTGAATTACCTTCTCAGGATTCTACTTTCGCATTCGATTTTTTTTGAAAAGCGTTAAAGTTGCAGGGGATACGTTCTCGAGAGAGGCGAGAGCGAGAACGTCGGTTCCCGCAGGCAAACAGACCAAGTCGAACCACGTGCCAAGTTAATACATACATAATTAATAGGATATTCGAGCGACCGCCAAGATTAACCACTCCTGTGGTAACGTCGATAGCACTGCTCGCTTTCATCAATATTGAACGAATCGTTACGAGGCTTTTTCCTTTTCGTCGAAAATGACGATGTGTCGAAGGTCGAAACGCCAGATTAGAAGAAGGATATTTCTGCGGACGGGGGAACGGAAAGATCGCTATTTGAGAAATTAGTTTGACTATCCGATCTCGGCCAGTCCGAGCGCAATCCCATCTATATAAGCAATCGTATAATTTATAAGTTATCTAGTCGTTTGCGAACTTTTGCGCAATTCGAAGGGAGGAAGATCACTAGCCGGTCCGAAAACGGAGCGGGAGTTCGCTCCTCCGACCGTAGAGCTCGATACTTCTTGATAAATGAGGTCGGCAGCGAAAGAATTCCCGTTCACGGTAACTTTGCCAATTTCCGAAGATTACTTCCCCGATCTCTTTATCATGTCGTGACGCCGCGGGACGCCCGGCTATCTCTTCGTACGCGAAAACACATTCGCGTCGCGACACCACCGCTCGCGCTTTCCCACGAGAGAGAAGTGTGCGCGCTGAACTTTCCACTTTAGACAGAGTTTTTTTTTTGCGAAACGTAAGATACCATACATACACGACGCGGAGGGCACGAGAGATACCTGAGAAGAGTTTCGAAACAGCCGAGTACCTTTTTGCGCCTCCATTCGCTGTTAAAGAAAACGTCTACGAGCAGGAGATGAGAGTTTCGATCAATGTAAGAAAGTTATACATACATTACCGGATATTAAAAAAATATTCAATACTTCAGATGGATACTATGGCTAAGTTCGTCCTGCAGGCTTTTGTGCTGAAAACATCTTCTACCTTCCTTCAGCATAAAGATAGAACAACGCTCTCAGCACGGAAGCGTGCAAAATGAACTTGGCCAGTATGACGCGAAAATGACCCCGTAATCGGTTTGATAGTAGTGTATTTGAAAAATAACAAATACTTGCTCGTACTTAAAATGTCCGAGTCGTGAGATGGATATATTAAGTTGTTTGATAATATAATATAAAATTTGATAAAATTGTTTTTACCGTCCTTGTAAATCGTAAGTATTCGCGTTCGAGATGGAATCAACGATCATTTGGACGGCATGTTGTTTCCGGGAACGAGATAATATTATCTGGGAACTTTACGATTCGTCGTTGCAGTAACGAGACGTCTTATTACTTCGACCTGTGCAGTTGCTTTTTCCGAGCAACCGACGCTCTTGCCCGACTCGACTGTCATAGTCGAAGTCGCTGCCACCGGCGAAGTTACCATTCTCCGTTTCGCGTTTATATACCTTAATAAGGGCAAGGGAATGCGGCCAATTCAGGCAGCCTTTTCACGGTTCGACTTACCATGCGAGTCGTATGTAAGACAAATTGAATTAAACCGAGAAGATATGCGCATAGGGGAGACCCGGGCTAGTTGGTTAAAGAGATAAGTTGGCTGATTAATTTTCATAACCATCTTTGATATATATGAAATCTCTGCTTGCTCTAACCCGTTAGAAAAGAACAGAAATAATTAATTAACCGGCTTATCCCTTTAGCCAACTAACTCCGGTCTTCCCTACTTACACCGAGAGTGCCTTCGAACGAGAGAGTCTCCGTTGCGTCCCGCAGTATTATTTTCGCGTTTATTTACCGTTGCCGGATCTGTGGCTGACGCGATAGCTCGCGTATCGCGCGATCTCCTTTATCCGCAACGCCGATCGCATAACGCTTCAGCGGAACACACACGCGATACTCTCCGCGTACGTGCCGCGTATCGATAGCGGTGATAAAAATTGCGGGAGGGCGGCGAGATATCGACCGCTTCTGGACCACACTATTATACGGGCGATTAATAGTTATCGGACGTGCACGTGGCCTCGGCGGTATCAGGAGAGACAAATTCCTCCGAATGGTGGGTTCGCCGGGATCCTTCGGTCGAGTTTGCCGAATTTGCCCGCGGAAGGCCGCACACGCTCTCTAATATGGTCCCTAATATGGCTGTGCGCGATGAAATATGCACGAAGACTCGTGGAACATGACCATTTCCAAAATTCTCGTTTGCGCGCGCGCGTGCCGCCGACCTACATACGGCATCACACTTGTGTGCGATTTGCACGTATACGCATCGCAGTATGCGAGACCACCGCGAACGCGGCTATACGTAAAACGTGGCATATTACACTGGCGCATTAACCTGGCTCACAGCCATGTTGCATCATAAATACGCGCTAACAATGCTCGCCGGGTCCTCGCTTTGTGATAACGACATTGAAGATGGAACGTTCATGCGTGACGCGAGCTCGATAATTTTCCGGCCTCGCTCCGGCTCCGTAGCGGTTGAACCACATCGCTCGCGCGGTTTGTTCGTTCCCGTTGCTCGATTTCTGCTTCGCTTTGCCGCGAATCTAGTTCTCTACACCTCGCGCAGACTAGCAGTCAACACACCCAGTATGTA